GTCACCGGAGCAGCTAAGCCACTACAGCCGCGTATGAAGCAGAGATAACCAGCAGAGGTTGTTTTTGTGAGAAGTTTGGGTTTTTTAACAGTTAATGTGGAAAGAGACGACAAGGATCATGGAAAGAAGAGAGGATGGAGACAAGAGGGCAGGAGGATTAATGATGCAGCCCAAAGAGACAGCAAATTACAGAAATGTAAATAATTCAGATGGTCTCTGAGGCCGTGTGAGTTTAGGCGAGAAGAGACGCAGCAGACGACAGGAAGAGACTGAGCCTGGACGCCACGGACGCTGCTCAGATGAACGGTGGAGAAGTGGATCAGACCAACCTTGGTAAGAACGCAACAACATGAAGATCTATAGAAAACCTTGTGGGTAGCAGAGGCGCTACATGGATAGCGTGATGCATACGCACGCACACGTAACTGTAAATGTGCCAGAATTAGGCCATCTGTAGGCCCTGGCGGGTCAGAGATAGAGAAACTATACCAGGAAATGATGGATTATCGATCATCTCTTCTTTTAACTTGGATGGAAAGAGACGGAGCAGAGGAGAGCAAACGGGGAGGAGAGAGAGGAGATGAGAGAGAGGTTGGGGGGAATAAAGAGGGGGGAATGGAGAGAGAGAGAGAGCGAGAGAGAGAGAGAGGGAGGAAAAGGGAGAGGGGGGGGTACAGGGAGGGAGAGAGAGAGCGAGAGAGAGGAGGACGAAAAGGGAGAGAGGGAGGGAGGGGGGGCTAGAGAGAAAAACAACCAGGGGGAGGAAGAGAGAGAAAGAGAGAGAGGGATGAGAGGGGGGTTGGAGAGAGAGAGACAGAGGGATGAGAGGGGGTGGAGAGAGAGAGAGAGGGATGAGAGAGGGAGGGATAGAGAGAGAGAGAGGGATGAGAGAGGGAGGGTGGAGAGAGAGAGAGAGAGAGAGAGGGAGGGATGAGAGAGGGAGGGTGGAGAGAGAGAGAGAGAGAGGGAGGGATGAGAGAGAAAGGGTGGAGGGATAGAGAGAGAGAGAGAGAGAGAGATGAGAGGGGGGTGGAGAGAGAGAGGGATGAGAGAGGGAGGGATAGAGAGAGAGCAAGAGAGAGAGAGAGAGGGATGAGAGGGGGTGGAGAGAGAGAGAGGGATGAGAGAGGGAGGGATAGAGAGAGAGCAAGAGAGAGAGAGGGAGGGATAGAGAGAGAGCAAGAGAGAGAGAGGGATGAGAGAGGGAGGGATAGAGAGAGAGCAAGAGAGAGAGAGAGTGAGAGAGAGTGAGAGAGGGAGGGTGGAGAGAGAGAGGGGGGGATGGAGGATAGAGGAGCTAATTATTTGTTTCTTGTTTGTTCTTAGTTTCACTCGTCCTTTTCACCGAGCTTTGAGTCACGTTTGTAATGACTTGTAAACTGACGAGTGGATTATGAAAGAAGCAAGACGCTCAGCCTCCTGGCTCATGAAAACCCGGTTTGGCTCGCTGTTGAACTGCGTTAGCATACACGGTGTACCCAACACGGAGCGATAACAGAACAACGAGGTTTAAGAGGAGCTTCTCCCTCAGCGCACGCACCTGGTGTGTTTCATCACATGTACTCACGCCTCTTGATGCTGATGATGTCACAATGGTGTCGTTTACTGATAACTTAAAATAATCAGAACTACTGAATGAAACGATGAATATTCATGAGCTTATTATTAGATTTGATTGTGAAACACTAGCCCCGCCCCCTCTCTCTCACTGACGCGACTCTCGGATCAAGCTTCACTTTGAACTTTGGTGCTGCAAAGGCTCATGGGAGATTCTCTCCTCTCATAAAGGAGGTATAAAACATAATTCTGGCTCTTTTAGTCAGAAATGGACCTCAGGAAGCAAACCCAACCAGACCCTGAGGGTGAAGCAGAGATTGGAGCCTACGACCGGCTCAGATTTCACCTTCCCAACGCTCCAATCGGATCACACACTCCAGATGGGCAAACGGGATGTGGTGAAGCCTTACGGACCTGGTGGAAGCTAATTAATTACCTCTTATCTTTAAACAGCCAAGGAGGTGTCTTCACATCACATCTTAATCACAGCGTCACCTTGAGATAACCCACGCTGTGACTTTGTTAAAGCAGCCAAAGACTTTAACTCCCATCTTCTCTCCCAGACTCAGGAGCAGGAGGAGCTCTGATCATCCAAAGAGTTCCTCGTGTGGTCCCAAGAGTCCAGAAACCATGCCCACTCACCTGCACGCGTAGGCCTCCATGGTCCAGTTCAGACCAGTTCAGATCCAAGGCTTTAAAATTGGGAGGAGCTAAAGAGGGAGAGGAGGAGTGAGGAGGAGGTAAAGAGGAGGAGGAACTGAGAAGGACCTAAAGAGGAGGAGGAGGTGAGGAGGAGCTAAAAAGTAAGAGGATGTGAGCAGGAGCTAAAGAGGAAGGAGTGGTGAGGAGCTGAAGAGGGAGAGGAGGGGTGAGGAGGAGGTAAAGAGGAGGAGGAACTGAGAAGGAGCTAAAGAGGAAGGAGTGGTGAGGAGCTGAAGAGGAAGAGGAGGTGAGGAGGAGCTAAAGAGGGAGAGGAGGGGTGAGGAGGAGGAACTGAGAAGGAGCTAAAGAGGAGGAGGAGGTGAGGAGGAGCTAAAGAGGGAGAGAAGGAGGTGAGGAGGAGGAGCTAAAGAGGGAGAGGAGAAGGTGAGGAGGAGCTAAAGAGAGAAAGTAGGGGGTGAGGAGGAGCTAAAGGGGGTGAAGAGGAGCTAAAGAGGGTGAGGAGAGGAGGTGGTGAGGAGGAGCTAGAGAGAGTGAGAGGAGGAGGAGGTGAGGTGGAGGTAAAGAGGAGGAGGAGGTGAGGATCTGAAGAGGAGGTGAGGAGGAGCTAAAAAGGGAGAGGAGGGGTGAGGAGGAGCTAAAGACGAGGAGGAGGTGAGGAGGAGCTAAAGAGGGAGAGGAGGAGGTGAGGAGGACCTAAAGGGGGAAAGGAGAGGGTGAGGAGGAGCTAAAGAGGGTGAGAGGAGGAGGTGGTGAGGAGGAGCTAAAGAGGGAGAGGAGGAGGAGGTGAGAATGAGCTAAAGAGGGAAAGGATGGGGTGAGGAGGAGGAGGAGGAGCTAAAGAGGAGGAGGAGGTGAGGAGCTGAAGAGGAGGTGAGGAGGAGCTAAACAGGGAGAGGAGGGGGTGAAGAGGAGGAGCTAAAGAGGGAGAGGAGAAGGTGAGGAGGAGCTTAAGAGGAGGAGGAACTGAGAAGGAGCAAAAGAGGAGGAGGAGGGGGTGAGGAGGAGTTAAATAGGAGGAGGAGAGGAAGAGCTAAAGAGGGAAAGGAGGGGGTCAGATGGAGCTTAAGAGGGAGAGCAAGGGGTGAAGAGGCGCTAAAGAGGAGGTGAGGAGGAGTTAAAGGGGGTGAGAGGAGGAGGAGGTGAGGAGGAGCTAAAGGGAGAGAGGAGGAGGTGGTGAGGAGCCAAAGAGGAGGGAGTGAGGATGGTCTAAAGGGGGAGGGAAGGTGGTGAGGAGGAGCTAAAGACGGAGAGGAAGGGGTGAGGAGGAGCTAAAGAGGGTGAGAGGAGGAGGTGGTGAGGAGCTAAATAGGAAGAGGAGGTGAGGAGGAGCTAAAGAGGGAGAGGAGGAGGAGGTGAGGAGGAGCTAAAGAGGGAGAGGAGGAGGAGGTGAGGAGGAGCTAAAGAAGGTGAGAGGAGGAGGACGAGCTAAAGAGGGAGAGGAGGAGGAGGTGAGGAGGAGCTAAAGAGGGAGAGGAGGAGGAGGTGAGGAGGAGCTAAAGAAGGTGAGAGGAGGAGGAGCTAAAGTGGGAGAGGAGGAAGTGGTGAGGAGCTAAAGAGGGAGAGGAGGAAGAGGTGAGGAGGAGCTAATGTGGGAGAGGAGGAAGTGGTGAGGAGCTAAAGAGGGTGAGAGTAGGAGGAGCTAAAGTGGGAGATGAGGAAGTGGTGAGGAGCTAAAGACGGAGAGGAAGGGGTGAGGAGGAGCTAAAGAGGGTGAGAGGAGGAGGTGGTGAGGAGCTAAATAGGAAGAGGAGGTGAGGAGGAGATAAAGAGGGAGAGGAGGAGGAGGTGAGGAGGAGCTAAAGAAGGTGAGAGGAGGAGGAGGAGCTAAAGAGGGAGAGGAGGAGGAGGTGAGGAGGAGCTAAAGAGGGTGAGGTGAGGAGGAGCTAATGTGGGAGAGGAGGAAGTGGTGAGGAGCTAAAGAGGGAGAGGAGGAAGAGGTGAGGAGGAGCTAATGTGGGAGAGGAGGAAGTGGTGAGGAGCTAAAGAGGGTGAGAGGAGGAGGAGCTAAAGTGGGAGAGGAGGAAGTGGTGAGGAGGAGCTAATGTGGGAGAGGAGGAAGTGGTGAGGAGCTAAAGAGGGTGAGAGGAGGAGGAGCTAAAGTGGGAGAGGAGGAAGTGGTGAGGAGCTAAAGAGGAGGAGGTGAGGAGGAGCTAAAGAGGGTGGCAGGAGGAGGTGAGGAGGAGATAAAAGGCACTGAGGAGGAAGACAGGAGGAGGTTACAGTAATAAATAACCGGCCTGTAAAAGTCCACCACCAGCCCCAAAGGTCAGAGGTCAGCATTGCTCAACAGACTTCAGGTCAGACTTTGACCTTTTTTAATACAGCATGTAAACCTGATTCTGCAGAACACCGACAAGCCGGCGGGCTGTAATCCCTCCACCTGTCACTCATCCCGACTCGTCTCCTCCTGATGGGAGGAAATCTGCAGCCATCATTCCCAATCAGAGCTTAATTATGTCAGTTATTGTCTGATGGTACCGAGAGCGGCTCAGACTCCCCGTTTTAACCCCACAGAGGACGACTGATTGACGTGAAGCATGGTTTCGTTGTTCTCACGAGTCCCATCAGGAAGACGGGAGACAAACGCGTCTCCCAGAGACCGAGTCCTCGCCAAAGAGACGGGATGAAAGGCTGAATCAACAACATGCTGTTTGGTTTCCAGCCGAGTCGCAAACACGCCGATTTCCACATAAAGTCACAGAAACCTTCCTTCATGCTAAATAATCTGGAATCAGAGAGTGGCTAGGAGCTCAGACGACCCGAGAGGTTCTGGTACTGACCGTCACGCCGCCGTCGGTCTGCGCCTCCCTGTAGGTGAAGTTGCAGACGGCCCAGGCCAGGTAGTAGGTGGACATGCGCGGCGTCCGGCCGAAGCGGTTGGTCACCCAGCCGTCCTCGTCCGCCGGCCCGCTGCTCTCCACCGGCATGTTGGACAGAGAGGTGTATTGTGGGTCGTGGCGGAGCGTCAGGGAGAACGTTGCCTTGTAGACGGGCTCGTCGAAGCAGGGGAAGGCCTTGCGGGCGTGGATCGGGCTGAACTGGGTCACCGCCAGGTACCTGAGCAGAGAGACGGCCTGAGTTAGAGACAAAACAACTGAAACGGTGTGGACTAGAGCGGCTTTAGGCCGGTGAGGCTGCAGGCGGGGCTCAGGTGTGATCACAAATGATAAACGACCCGCACTTGTATAGCGCCTCTCAGAGTCAGGACTCCAAAGCGCTTTACACTACAGTGCATCACTCATCCATTCACACACTCATTCACACACTGATGGTGATGAGCTACGATGGAGCCACAGCTGCCCTGGAGTGCACTGACAGAGGCGCCACCGGTCCCTCCGACCACCACCAGCAAGCAAGGTGGGTTACGTGTCTTGCCCAAGGACACTATGACAGAATTTTCTAACCAGAGCCGGGATCGAACCTGCAACCTTCCGATTACTGGACAACCCGCTCAACCCGCTGAGCTACTGCTTTAGCAAACACAAACTGTTAGGGTCGGCTGGATCAGGTTCATTAGGAACCTTCCACTCTGATGCGGTAAACGTTTGATTTAACCTGTTTATGACCGCCGGAGTCTGACCAGAACCACTCGATCCGACCCGGACTAGAGAAAGTCCAGAACCGAAACATGAACTGGATTCTGGAGAAAAATGAGAACCAATTGGAGGGGGTGGGGGTGATTATCTTTGTCCTTTAGCCTGAAACACTCGTCACGTTCTGATGGAAACCAAAATACTAAATATTTACACCAATATTTATTTCACCTCTGAAACGTGGAATCCTGGAAAAACGTCATCCGGTCACGGTCCTGATCCACCCATCCCACCGCCCCTCCCCCCCTCTACGCATCACGCGTTCTCGGCTCAGAGCAGCAGCAACGCCAGAGCCAGGCTAGCTATATCAGCTAGCGCACTAGACGGTTGAATGTTTACATAAATGCATTACAGTAAGAATTATAGCACAAAATTTGCCAACAATTGGCCAAAGACTTAAATAACCATGGGCGTGGCTTAGGGGGAGGAGCCTGAAGGAAGGGGGTTGGACCTTTGCAGCTGGCTGGAACCGTTTTTACCGCATCATCTACCTTTAACTGTGATAGCAGGATGATGCTGGGATGGAAATCATAACGGTTTTGAGCGTTTAACAGTGTGTTTGTTAGAAATGTTATTTCCGTCTGATCAAACTGATTACTTTCTAACTCAGTGGGTTTTGGATTTTCTGTTCCTTCTAGTTTAGTCTTTTCTTCTAAAGACTTCCTCTGCTCTCGGCTCCTTTTCTCTCAGAGCTTTATTCTCTTTTCCTTCCATCTCTTCCCGTCGCCCCTCTCTCCCTCCAATCCAAGGTCTGTGTCAATATGTGCGATACCTGGGTGGATCCAGGCAGCAATCACAATCCCCTCAAGGGAAAAATTATTTTCTTTCTCCCGTTTTGACGCAGAAGGAATGAAAAACCGAAAAATCTTTGTGTCCTTTTCCTCTTCAGCTGCTCAGAAGAGAGCGACTGTGATTTTATCTTCATATTTACTCATGTGTGAAGCTCATTTATCATCAGTTTCACGGTTAGAAACAAACGTTCCTGCTTTGTTTTATACACACTCTAACTGATGGAAGTGATTAGCATAAATCAGCACCTTAAAAGCATCAAACCTGAGCTGCTGTTTACCTGAGAGGATGAACGTGCATAAAACGCAACGACAGATTCTCCCTGAAGGGCTTTGACACAAAAACAGACATTAGAGGCCGAGTGGCTGAGAGCTAAGGAGACAAAACGCTGCTGGTGCCGCTCCGTGGATGTTTTCTAAAGGGAGAGGCGTCATTATCCGCCGGCTCGGCTGACTCCTCGCACGTCCAGCCAGCAGGACCAGAACACAGACGACATGGATCTGATCTTTCTTCTTTACAGAACTCAGAACAGAACCAGAGAGGTTTCAGGAGAAAGCAGCACCACTCAGACGTTTTACCCATGATGCACAGCGGCACGTACGCTAGGGTTGTGGTGGGACAAACAAACTCTCGACTCAAAGAAAAGTCTCTGATTTGAACGCTTTATCTGGAAATGACTGGATTTAGTTAGTGTTCCTGAGAACTCTTCTGCTGCTGCCGTTCTTGCAGCTGTCTCATTTTCTCAGCAGCGACACCTACTGGGGTCCGCAAGAAGTAGTTCAACAAAAACAAAAAAGCGTCCTCTGGCGTCCCCTTCAGAGGACGTCGGCTTGTCGCATCATCCGCTTCTGTTTAGCTTAGTTAAAAGGAACTTTACGGAGTTTTGAATTTTTATGCTCACGATTGCCCCCTCAGGCCAAAAGCGTAACGGCAGCTTCAATAGTAGGCTCGTGCACGAGGCGCGCATGCTGTACGTGCACACTCCTTAACGAAAATAACAGCTGAGACAGTCCCATGTGTGTGTGTGTGTGTGTGTGTGTGTGTGTGTGTGTGTGTGTGTGTGTGTGTGTGTGTGTGTGTGTGTGTGTGTGTGTGTGTGGCCTGGAGGACAGAGGACAGGGGAACGCGCAGCTAATTAATTAAATAATTTGGTTCTGTACCTTTCTCTTCAGCACAGCCGACAAAGGTTTATGATGGGTCAGTCCTCCTGCATGCTCAGATCATTCCCTTCCCTTGCTTGAAAAATTGTTCCAAAATGAAAGTTGAACCCACATCTTTTTTATCTGTGAAATCAATGCCGTTCGGCGAGTCTCAAATAAATATTTGGGCACCTTACTGTAAAAAAATATACCATTAATGTAAAAAAGAAACTCTAAATAAACTATGTTTACATTCAGAATCGAACCCAGGACTTCTGCACCAGAGTCCAACATCTTACTAGGTGAGCTAAAGCGCCAACAACATCCTTTGTATCTGTAACATTTATATCCTTGATGACAGCTGAAACAACGTTCAAAGAACGGTTCGAAGTGAAAATGGCTATTTTGTTGCTAATTTGCAGGATATATCTAGAAGAAAGTTCTACAGAAAGTAGCTAAGGGTCCTCAGAAATGTAGCTAGCTTTGTCACTAGGCGTTAGGAACAGCGACAAAGTGGCACTGCCTCTCTCTCTGCTGCTAAAGCTACTGATAGCAAATGCTACGGGCTATGCCTGAGCGTGAACGCGCATGAAGCAGCCTGCTCGACCCGAGCATCTCTCTTTTTCTGTGATTTTACAGAAAAACAGGCAATCACAGTAAAAATGCCAGGGCTCATTCTACAGGACCAGGGCATTGCAGGAGAATGTATGAAGAAGACATTTATTATTTCTATACATGTTTTGGCTGTCACACTTCCATAATGCCCCTTTAACCGTGTTAGCTTAGTTAGTATGATTGTTTTCAAGTCCCCGAGATGGTTCTGAAACAAACTAGCGTTGGATTGCGGGGGACGTAGAATCGGCGCCACTGATGCTCAAACCTGATCAAATGTGTTTTAACGACTGAACTCATGAATGAATTCTGACCAATCACACGGCTGCTTGTATCACCGTCGCAGCTGACAGCAGCAGCCATCAGAGCCTGATCAGAACCTTTTTTCCAAATGTGGGTATCTTTGGTTGTCATGTTATTTGGATCGTTTTGCCGTCGAGATTCAGAATTTCCACATCCTAGATGTCAGAAGCTGAATCTTAGCTGGAGGAATCTTTTACTTCCAGGGTCAGATTTTCTGCGTTTGATTATTTCTGTCTGCCTGAAGTCACGACCTGCTGAATGAAACCTGGAACTCATGACCCGCCCAGTTAGAAAATGTGTTTACATATCTGCGGGGGGGGGCGACCCATCACCTCCACCAGCCGCCTCTTTTTGATTTTCCACCTGACTTCAAATGATGATGCGTTCATAGCACCCTGGAAATAAGAGCTGTGAGCTTTAAGGTGTTACCGCCTTAGTTGATGGAAGTGCAGCAGTTATTAACCCGTGAAGGTAGAAAGACTCTGAACGTGGTTCTGAGGCTGACGGACTCGTTGACCCGGTTGGTTCTGTATAGTCAGAACCCACTCACAGCTACTGGTGCTTGATGTGTTGATGCTACAACTCACAACCCATCAGATGAATCAGCTGCTAGAATCAGGCTGGACCAGAACCCGGTCTGAAACGGATCTTTAACTAGAGACAGAAAAGAAGTGAGTGCTGATTTTATTTGCATCAAACATTTTATTAAAGCTCAAATTCTGTCTTTACCGGGTAAAACATGTCAACATGCCACCTTGATATTTTATCCCCACGAAGAACACAAGTCTGAACGTGTCTCGCCATTTTGTGGAGTAAGTAATGCTAACTGTTAGCTCCTACTAGCTGAGGCATGCTCTGTTCTCTCCTTCCCATGAGCGGTCCCAAGCCAAGGTGGGCGAGGCTGTGTGGAAGTCCACAGAATGTTGTTAAAAGTCTTCAGCTTGTCCAAAATGCTGCAGCTAGAGTTCTGATGAGAATTAAAAAGAGAGATCATATCTCTCCTGTCTTAGCTTACCTACATTGGCTACCTGTTAAATTCAGAATAAAATTTAAGGCCCTTCTTCTCACATACAAAGCTCTTAATAATCAAGGTCCATCATACATCAGTGATCTGATTGTTCCATACGTTCCTAACCGAGCACTTCGCTCTCAGACTGCACGTTTACTGGTGGTTCCCAGAATATCTAACAATAGGATGGGAGGCAGATCTTTTAGTTATCAGGCTCCTCTCCTGTGGAACCAGCTCACAGCTTTAGTCTGTGAGGCAGACACTTTGTCTACTTTTAAGAATAGGCTTAAAACATTTTTATTTGATAGGGCTTATGGTTAAAATCTAATGTTAGCCTAAATCTGGACAAGTGGGGGAGTAGAGGGAGGTGGAGTGTACAGTCGGTAAAGACGGCTCTCCCTTGCCCTGCCTCCAACATGCCTCCATCTAAAAGGCTAGGTTATCCAGAGTTATCTCTGTAGTTATGCTGCTATAGGCTTAGACTGCTGGAGGACACACTGACCACTTTCCACACTCTACTGCTTTCTTCTACAATCTGCTCTTTAACTGTATTACTTTCTGTTATTTCAGCTGTTAACTTTATTTTCTCTCTAAGTGTTTTTCTCCCCAGAA